AATACCAGCCTCTCACTGGAGAAAATAGGAAGGCACAGAGCTAAGAAACAGGAGATAAACTATGAATAATTTTCCCTGGTAACCCATGTACTAAGAGGACAACATTGACCATTGGGTATTTTATTAACAAATAAAAGCTTTTAAACTGTCCTAACACTTTTCTGTGGATGTTGATTTATCTTCTCTGTAGGAATTATATTCATTTTACTGTTTCAGGTAAAACAGTATTTCTAGTACAGCATCTTTGTGGGTCTGAAATTTCCATCATTAAGGCTAAGAAGTATTCATGACGAATGGCATCTGACTTATGAAACAATAATATTAAGGAGAGGACAGTAGATGTTACTGTGTAAAGAGATACAGCCTTCATAAAGCAGAAGTATGAATGGTGGAATAGTTAATTCCCTATATCTTTAAAATCTTAGCTAAGAAAAGCCAAAAACATCCCAGATGCCTGACTATGCCTCTGCTAAACCACAAGAACTTGCCAGTAGAAAGTGTATGCCTGAGAAAAGAATATTTAAAGCTTTATGTAAGGTAAGTTACAGTGAGAGTTTCACAGTTCTTTCGGGAATCCTCTTTAAAAAAAAAACTCTTAATGTCAATACTGAAAAGTCCTATTGCTTTTAAAACTTATTTAAAATACTGTAAGTGAAAGAGCTCTTTATTTTGTTTTCATGCTTAACAATGGGAATTTTCATGTATCATGACTTTAACAGTCAACACAGTTTGAACATGGCTGAAAGCAGAAGTAAACATGAAATAATCAATGCACAATATTCTTTGCTCTCTTCTTTTATTGCTATCTTTCCCTCTCTTTGGGAATGCTGGCTATATTTTACATTGTAGGGGATAAGATAAATAGGGATTTGTTCTCTATTTGATTTTTGTATAAAAAGCTAAACATTCTCTGGGAATACAATTTCTTCCTGGCCAGCCCAGTAAGATCTTCTTATCATTAAAAAATATTTGAAATCAAGAGTTTATATTTAATACTGGAAAAGTACGAGTCACTCTTTACTAGACTTTACTAGACACATAGAATCATAGAATCATAGAATATCCTGAGTTGGAAGGGACCCTTAAGGATCATCAAGTCCAACTCTTGACACCGCACAGGTCTACCCAAAAGTTCAGACCATGTGACTAAGTGCACAGTCCAATCTCTTCTTAAATTCAGACAGGCTCGGTTCAGTGACCACTTCCCTGGGGAGCCTGTTCCAGTGTGCAACCACTCTCTCTGTGAAGAACTTCCTCCTGATGTCAAGCCTAAACTTCCCCTGCCTCAGCTTAACCCCGTTCCCGCGGGTCCTGTCGCTGATGTTAATGGAGAAAAGGTCTCCTGCCTCTCGACACCCCCTTACGAGGAAGTTGTAGACTGCGATGAGGTCTCCCCTCAGCCTCCTCTTCTCCAGGCTGAACAGGCCCAGTGCCCTCAGCCGTTCCTCGTACGTCTTCCACTCCAGGCCTTTCACCATCTTTGTAGCCCTCCTCTGGACACTCTCCAAGTTTCATGTCCTTTTTATACTGTGGTGCCCAGAACTGCACACAGTACTCGAGGTGAGGTCGCACCAGCGCAGAGTAGAGCGGGACAATCACCTCCCTCGACCTACTAGCGATGCCGTGCTTGATGCACCCCAGGACACGGTTGGCCCTCCTGGCTGCCAGGGCACACTGCTGGCTCATATTCAACTTGCTGTCTACCACGACCCCCAGATCCCTCTCTTCTAGGCTGCTCTCCAGCGTCTCATCGCCCAGTCTGTACGTGCAGCCAGGGTTTCCCCGTCCCAGGTGCAGGACCCGGCACTTGCTCTTATTGAACTTCATGCGGTTGGTGATCGCCCAGCTCTCCAACCTATCCAGATCCTTCTGCAAGGCCTTTCCACCCTCAACAGAGTCCACAACTCCTCCAAGTTTGGTGTCATCAGCAAACTTGCTCAAAATACCTTCTATTCCTACATCCAGATCGTTTATAAAAATATTGAAAAGTACCGGCCCTAAAATGGAGCCTTGAGGGACCCCACTAGTGACCGCCCGCCAGCCTGACGCAGCGCCATTCACCATGACCCTTTGGGCCCTGCCCGTTAGCCAATTGCTCACCCATCGTATGATGTTTTTATTTAGCTGTATGGTGGACATTTTGTCCAGTAGGATCCTATGGGAAACCATGTCAAAAGCCTTGCTGAAGTCCAAAAAAATCACATCAGCTGGTTTCCCTTGGTCCACCATACGGGTGATCTTATCATAAAAGGAAATCAGGTTAGTTAGGCAGGACCTACCCTTCACAAACCCATGCTGGCTGGGACCAATGACTGCTTTGTCCCCCAGGTGCGCCTCAATACGTTCGAGAACCATCTTCTCCATGATTTTACCAGGCGCTGATGTGAGACTGACAGGCCTGTAATTGCTAGGGTCTTCTTTCTGACCCTTCTTGAAAATCGGCACAACATTTGCCAGCTTCCAGTCTACCGGGACCTCTCCAGACTCCCAGGATCGTTGAAAAATAATTGAGAGAGGTTCCGCGATGACGTCCGCCAGCTCTTTCAGCACCCGGGGATGAATCCCATCCGGACCCATGGACTTGTAGGGATCCAGGTGGAGTAGCAAATCTCGCACACGTTCAGGGTCAGTTGGGAGTTTGTCATCCCCACCGTCCCGGTCCTCCAGCTCAGGGCACGCTGGGTCCCGAAGCCCATCATCGGCATTGAAGACAGAGGCAAAGAAGGCGTTAAGCGTCTCTGCTTTGCCTATGTCATCGTCTGTGAGAAGACCTTCCCTATCAAGGAGTGGCCCTATGTATTCTTTAGTTCTCCTTTTTCCATTCACATATCTAAAAAAACCCTTTTTATTTTCTCTCACAGACACAGCCAGCTTCAACTCTAGGTGTGCTTTAGCCACACGAATTTTCTTCCTACAAACACGAACAGCATCCCTGTATTCTTTCCATGTCACCTGGCCCTCCTTCCAGTAGCGAAACACTCTCTGTTTCCGCCTAATCTCCATAAGAATGTTCCTGGTCAGCCACGCCGGCCTCCTGCCACGCCTGCCTGACTTGCAGTATTTAGGAATTGCCTGATCTTGTGCTTCTAGGAGGCATCGCTTAAAGAGTGACCAGCACTGTTGGACATCAAGGCCTTCAAGAGCAGCTTCCCAGGGGACCTTGCTGACTAGTTCCCTGAGCAGCCTGAAGTCCGCCTTCCCCATATCTAGGGATGAGGTTTTGGTGGCACTTTTCCTTCTGTCACCGTAAATTTTGAATTCAACCACTTCATGGTCGCTATGACATGATATTCTATTTCAGAGATCTTGCCTATTATGGTCTTCTGGAAGCAAAGCTTGCCATTGCTACAGCATAGTGAACTGCACCAGAAATCATGAAAAAAGAAAAAAAAAAATTCTGTTTGTGTGGTAGACTACAGAACTTAAACATACTTTTAACGTAATGCTCTTTGGTATGAAATGACATAGGTGTCACTTTCCATTTAATTTATGTAAGCAAAACTGCATGCTCTGAGTTTGTCTACCTGGACATCATAAATGGAGTGTTATAATCTCACAGTTTCAACTTCATCCCGTATAGAATCATAGAATAACCAGAGTTGGAAGGGACTAACAATGATCATTGAGTCCAACTTCTCGATGTAGTGGACAATATAGAGGTTTCTACTTTAGGCTGCCATTTTTCACAGTCCAAGTAACGACAAACTATTTTTCTGAACCTGTTAAAACATTGAGAAGTACACAACTGCAAGATGTGTCTATACATTCACACAAATGAAAATGATGAGTGTGCTGTGAGAAGATTTTGATATATTCATTTACCTTCCATAAGACCTCATTTCCCTTTAGCGGATGAAGGACAAAACCTCCTGCTTGCAGATGCTCATCTTTTGTGACATTTATTTATCAAAAGTTATGGTTTGTCTTCCCAGCAGCAAGAGAGGCAACCTTTTCCCTGAAGTCCTCTGCCAAAGATTTTGCATATGTTGAGTGTTGCCAGCTCTTGAGATCTCTTCCAGAGTGTGATGCATGTTTGGTTGGATCTGGAGCCAGCTTCACGATGGACTCTTACAAAATCTATGCCCCTCAAGCTTGGGTGAGCCCCAGCTCATCAACTGCCTGTCATGCTCACTTATATTGAAGATAGACCAAACTGCCCGGGCTGCTGCAAGGAGTCATCAGAGCTCCCCCACCTTCACATCTGAGCATCCCCGCACTTCTTCAGTAAATGAGGCAGTGAAAGACACCAGCAGTTATGGGCAGCTTCTCTCCTTCCTTTGCCGCTCCTTTCCTTTAATGAATTATGTAGGCCTTCAGTTCTGCCTTAAGCATCCAGCCTGCCTACAGGGAGGCCCAAAGCAGGAGTTTCTGAACAGGTTTGCCCCAGCCTAGAATATAAGGCAGGATCCCACAGAGCTGCTTCATTCTTCTAAAACCTTACAGAGCATGTTCCAAAAATGCAAGAAATTGGATAAAGTTGTGGTCTCAGAGCTCACAAAAGGGTTAGTGCTGGTTAACAGGAAAGATTTAAATGTAGGAGAGTTTCATTTACTGAGACAACTAGGAGGCAAGCCTATCTCACATATGCAGGGCACAGCTTACAAGAGACATAAAAAAAGAAACAACAGAGAGAGAGAGATTCGCTGTATTTGCTGCAGGACTCCCTCTTGTTATGCTCTAATGTATCTTCTCAGTTTCATCAGTCCAGTGTGGGGTCCCACCTTGGAAAACTGAGTCTCTTCCAGCAGCCACCAATGCTCTGCAAAATGTCCCAGGCTGACAGATGGCATACTTGGAAAACAGGGATTTTCACTTTCAGGATGTCAGAACAAATCATGGCAAACCCAGCAGGCAACAGGACAGTCCTGGCAGTCAAAGGCAGCTGTGTGCTTGCAGACATATGAGAGAGTTAAGTTCCCGAAAAGACAACAGAGCAGAGTATAATTTTTCTTCATAAAAAAAAAAAAAAAAAAAAAAAAAAAAAAAAGGCCAACCTCAGAGCTTGTAGGATCTGATCTTGGGGTTTGAGACTTCAGGTTGCTGAAGCATACACTGTGGAGTGATTCTTTGCTGTACTATTAACTGCAAATCAAGAGAAGCTATTGCACAAACACTTGCGTAACTCTAGAGGACAACTGAAGTCCCCAAACCTCCATTGTAGAGTCAGATACACAACCACAGAATGTTCCCAAAAAGCTTTGAAAGAGGCAAAGAGTTAGAATGCTTAGCATACATATATGGCTCTAGATACATATGTTTTCAAATTAATCTTCTAAATAAGTATCTTTAAATTTTCTATTTAAGATTTTTTTTCAATTAACTTAACAAACAGCGATTAATTTGGGATCCTATTAGTAAATATTTTGCTTATTTGCAACACGCCTTGTTAATGCCAAGGGATTAAGTGCGACTTAATAGGTGTTAAAAATAAGTGTGAAAAATAAAATGAAGTTACCAAATACACATTCAGTGAGGCCTTAAACATTAAATACAAGAAGTATTGTTTTGTTTCTGCATCTCATTTGAGAGGAAAGGAGAAGCTTTTATTCCAGTTCTCGGTCTTCACAGACTTTTCTTCTGACACAATGTCCATTTTACACCAGAGTAGGAACCCCTACTTAAGGTTCCCTAAGGGTGTTAGTTATCCACTTGAAATTGCTTTACAATTTCACCTTGGCCGTTTCCTGTCACTTTCTGTTGGCTATGCAGAATCTTCCTACACAAACAGCCTTTTTTTCTTTTTTTTTTTTTCTTTTTTTAGCCCAAAGGCAATCTGAAGCTTCTTTCAGACGGTTGAAATGAGACAAATTAGTGTACACACCAGGTCTCAGCCCTAAAATACTCTGAATACAGTTTTAAAACTGTCAGTCTGACAAGAGACACAATAGTACTTTATGATTTCTCTGGTGGAAAAACTAGCTCAAGATCTATGCAGTTTCTGCACTTCCAGTTTTGCTGATTCAACTGTATGCAGAGGTAGGCTCTAATCAGATCAATGAGCCCAATAAAAAGTGAGACTAGGAAAAGTCTGTACCTGTGTAGTCTGAATTACATGAAGGCTTCAGAAAAAAACTTGGATGCAAAGTGAGAACTTCAGTTTGAAAATCTAGTTCTTAACACATTATAAACACATTATAAAATGATTTCTAGTCCTCAGATTCATTGATCAGTCAAGGACAAAGTGTCAGGTATGTCAGATACATCATTTCACAAAAGAAATTCAGGCAGACAGCAGAGACAACAGAGACTTGTTAAAGCAATATCCATGTAGAACGAGATAGTACAAGATAGACAAGGCCATCTGACAAACACTAAATAAACAGTATTTTAAATTATTAGAATTACCGTAAGCTGTCAATATTACAACAGGAAAAGTGGCTGTTTAATATTAGTGAGGGGAAACTGATAAAAAAGCAAATCTGATAGCGGAGAGAGAGATGAGCCAGGGGTTCTATTGGCACATCTGAGAGCTTCACAATACATTTACTAAATTTACCTTCATGACACATTTGTAAGGTACTATTTCCGTTTCACAGATGAAGAATCAAATCACAAAGGAAATACAAGGCTGAGGAAGCTGTCAAATTCATATCTCACAGTCCTTCCAAGCTAAATTGGAAAAATACCTTTTGAATTTATTTCAGAAAGTAGATAATAAGAAAAAATAATAAGAAAAAAAAAAAAAAAAAAGGAAAGGAAAGAGATACAATACTGAGTTATATGATTGTCACTAATCTTCTAATGTATTTAAAACTTTACTCATTATCATGTTGGCTTGTATCCTTATCTACCCTAAAGAGGGGTGTTGGTGCATATCTATAGGAAGTACCTAGATGCAGTCGCTTTTGTTGAGAAAGCAGTCTGTGCAGATTGATTCAATCTGTTCAATTTCTCTCTGTTCTCTTCCCAGTTACTCCAAAACTCAGAAAGTGACTCACACAATAGACTAGCTTAGTAGCAGCTCCTTTCAAACTTCTGAACACTGAGGAAATGTCAGATATAAGCAAGTAGCACAACATAACAGAAGCAGATCTGTAAGGTGAAACAGCTGGTGCTGAGGACCCAACATCTACTCTTTATGCGTTTCAGGGATTTTACATTGGACTGTAGCTCTAAACAACTGAACAATTATTCATTGCCAGAGCACATTATATTCACTCCTGAAATGTACATTCTAGTTTAGCTTCATGCAGACACAATCCAGCTGGTTGCTTTGAGTCCACTCCACAGTGCAAACTATGACATAGTAAGGGGAACAGTTTTGCAGTTTGTCTCAAAAGCAAGCTTATACACAAAAGCAAGCTTATCCTACAAAAGCCCTAGTGTAAAGCCCCTTTCTGTCTCACAAATTCATCACTCTGTCATGCAAAAAACCTTGAGTTCCCGATCTTGTGCAATTTGACATCTGGCTGAGCAATGCAAGGATGCAGCTGGGAGCTAGGAACTCGAGCATTCTGATTTCCAAGCTATCATTGATCCTCTCCAGCCATGGGACAGATTCAGATCAGGAGGACATGTTTACCTACAACACACATGATTACGCAGATTTCCTTATTCCTTAGGGAAAGAAGACACTTGCCTACAAGAGAAGAAAGAAATTTGCCTGTAATCAGGATGCTGTGGGAATAAAAATTCCTGATCTCAGAACAGACACCTCTGTGGCTTTCCTCATCTATGAAACACATTCAGTCTGTTCCAAATATAGCTACCAATTATTATTATATAGGTGAAGGGGTTGCTGCAAAGACTGCTTTCATGCCACAGTTCAAAGGCAAAATTGGCTAAGTATTCATTAAAGCTTCCAGGAATGCAGTGAGTTACCTTGGTAATTTCCTTTTCACTGTGATGAAGACAATATCCTATGCAATGCCTCTAAGGAGAAATCACAGCTGTCATTTCAAAGTTAACATCTTTGACTATTAAATCTCTAATTTGGTTTATTATTTTAAAGACTTACCTTCTAGTCATTTAGACAGGCCTTGCAGAGCACTGGGAGCCATTCCAAATTAGAAATGAAATTAGAATCTAAGTCTGTAGGAGAAATCTCAGCGCACTTCCCGAGCAGCCAGCATACTGTGTTCCAGTTCTGCTCCCTCAATCCAAAAGATACAGGAAAGGAAAGGATCTGAGTATACTCTATGATTCTTACTGTATCTCTCTATTCCAAAAATGTCTGACTTCCAATAAGCGGAAGATTCAACAATAAATACTCTTGACCAAAAATAGTTCAGTGTTCAATTACTGAGTGCTTTTTCCCATACTGAGGATTCAGTTTTGCTGAATGGTCTGAACACAAAGATGAGTAGAAAAGTGACACAGTTTCCTGGTGATACAAAGGTATTCAGGATAGTCAAAACCTGACTGAGAGTAGTTGAGGAGGATCTCATTCTACTGAGTGGCCAGAGACAAAAAGGCAGGTGGAATTCAATGGTGATGAGGGCCAAGTACAGCACATGAGAAAAATATTCCTGGATAGATAGAACATAGAATCACAGAATCACGGAATGGTTTGGGTTGGAAGGGATCTTAAAGACTACCTGGTTCCAGCCCCACTGCCATGGGCAGGGACACCTCCCACCAGGCAAGGTTGCCCAAAGCCCCATCCAGCCTAGCCTTGAACACTTCCAGGGATGGGGCATCCACAGCTTCTCTGGGCAACGTGGTCCAGTGTGGTGAGACACTCTGAGTGAAGAATTTCTTCCTTATATCTCATTTAAATCTTTTAGTTTAAAACCATTCCCCCTTGTCCTATCACTCCACTCCCTGACAAAGAGTCCCTCCCCAGCTTTCCTGCAGGCTCCCTTTAGGTACTGGAAGGCTGCTATAAGGTCTGCCTGGAGCCTTCTCTTCTCCAGGCTGAACAACCCCAGTTCCCTCAGCCTGTCTTTGTAGGGGAGGTGCTCCAGATCCTTAATCATCTTTGTGGCCTTCCTCTGGACTTGGTCTAGTAGGTACATGTCCTTCTTGTGCTGTGGGACCCAAAGCTGAATGCAGTACTCCAGGTGGGGTCTCACGAGAGCAGAATAGAGGGGAAGAATCACCTCCCTCAACCTGCTGGCAACAGTTCTTTTGATGCAGCCCAAGATATGGCTGGCTTTCTGAGCTGCAAATGCACATTGGGTTCTAGATGATGGGTTCTAAATTAGTACTATGACTCAGGAATAGAACTTTTAGAGTAAACTGAAATCCGTATGTAGGTCCCTGTTCAACAGTGGGGAAGAACATTTTACAAACTATTAGAAAAAGAAGCAGAAAACTTCCTTACACCACTAAGAAGTGTTCTTGCTCACTGAAAACCAAGCACAATTGTTTTCATGATACACATTGTGGTTAAATGAAATAGAGAAAAAGGTTGGTGAAAAATGATGTGAATAGGGTGCTTTCATACAAAATGAGATGAAGGCTCTTCAGCTTTGAAAAAAGGTAACTATTATGTATTTCTTTAAAGGTTTTGCTGTAAAATGCTTCCAGCCCTTAACAATCCGACATCCTAAAAACTCTGCAAAGCTCATTAAGCATGACTAGATAACATGATTAAGAGTAATCGTAATTTATATTATAGAAAATAAAAGTATTTCACTAAACTGATATTAAGGTATGTTCCAATAAAATATGTGCTAATATGACAGAGTGAGCAGATTTGCAGGTTTTTCTCACCAGTACACAATTCACTTAAGGAAAGAAAATAAATTGTCTCAAATTCAAACAGGTACTTCCAAAGTCTGTTTCCCATAACTTAATTGTCTTAATTGACATCTTCTGTTATGAGTGGCTTCATGGAGAGCTGGCTTTTTCATTCTAGCAGCCATGACTGTCCTTATCATTACTAAATTCTTAAAATCCTACCTGTTGGGGATCCATACCTCAGCAAGTAATATTCACAAAGATTAGGTTGGATTAAATAATTTACATTACATTAAATATTTACAATATTATTTAATATTTACAAAACATTAAATAATGGACGGTTTTAAAGAATGTTAAAGAAAGTTCTTTCAAAGAAAAAAAAATGGACATTACATTTGCTGAAAACTGAGAGGACTGAAGTGCTAATGTTAAAATAAAAGTAACAATTTTTGTGTATAACCTCAGGAGAAGACTACATTGTTGGTGTATTATTTAGCTATATTGTAGTGTTGTACCTATTGCTATTCACTGTAATTATTTTCACATATTGCTTGCACAATTTTGAGTATTGTAACCTTCATTTATTCCTAACAAATAATATTCATATTAAAGTTTTCAATTTATTCAGAATGTGGAAACAGGCCTTTGTCACAAAGTCACAGGTACTAAGAGGAAAGTGGATGTTACTAAATGCTATCAGAGTAACACATCTTGTTTCTGAAGCTCTACATGAGTACCAAAAATTGACTTCAGTCATGCAACTGAGAGGACTGAAGCAACATGCTGAAAAATTGAGCTTTTCCCACAGACAGCAGCCATTTCAGAGCAGACCTCATAAATAATAAAAAAGTAGTGTTAATAAAACACTACTTTTTATTTCGTGTTAAATTGAACAACATTAAATTTGAAGACCAAAAGCATAAACTTCAGAGTTTATGGCAGAACATGAATTAGTTGTAACAGTTTTTGGCCAAACACTAATTGACCATTCCTAGATACAACATACAAGGTAGCAAGACATTTGCTTGTCTAGCAACCTTCAGATGTAAATGGAAGAGAGCACCTCACTGAATAATATTCAAAAGGATAAGATGTTTCAGGACAGGTTTGTCATTTTGATGACAAAAGTTTTCAAAGAGAGGTAGTGCAGCGAAGAACATTTGGGTGTATCCTGAGATGACATCCTTGAGAGGATCTTGGTAGGATCCCGCATCCTGTGATGTGGTAGAAGGCATAGGGGCACCTCAGCCACCTTTTTCTACCAGAAGAAGAGATTCTGCCAGTCAACATATAGCTTTCTAGCCAATATCACACTGAAAATTTGAAAAAAAAAAATTGAAACTGAAATATGAGTTCACTTTTGATCTTGAGGTTGCAATTGTCCTCCTATTCTGTACTGTATCAAGGGTTGAATGTAGAACTCTGACACCCCGGGTGCATAGCTGGTTTTATATTTGCACTTGGTAAATGTGAAACAGTACTTGTCTTCCCAGAAGTCCTCAAACACTGGACAACAAATTAATACTTTATTATTATTATGCTTGGTTTTCCTTCCATACCATAGATCCATTCATTCTGCTCCATACGCAAGAAATTCTCTTCAAGTATTATGTTCCTAATACCAGAAACAAGGCTGTATCTGGAAAACTCTCACTTTGGTAAGAACTTCAAAAATCTTGTGACTAGACCTGAGTTAACAGATAAAGGGTAGGTACTCTGATGACAGGCATGGAGGACGATGTTTATGTGCTTTCTGAAATCGGGGCCTTCCTAAGGAATTGTTCACCAGACAAAATGCAATTTAAATAAAGTTTGGTTTGATTCTCAAATTTTAAGACATGGCAAAGCTATTAAAGCTCACCATGACTGTGTTGAAATGTGGTAGTGAGAAGGTTATTATAAAACTTTTTGAGTATTATTTCTAGTATTCACAGGACATAGTAATTTAAACATAAAAAACATTGGTTCCAGTGTTTTTTATAAAAGAGCCAGATTATTACGTATGGAACATGCAGGTACTATGTAATATTTCTGTTTCTTCATAACATATAAACTGTTTGATGGCTTTTTCCATAAAAGTAGTTCACTTTTTTAATGACCCTGTTAAAATTTGCTTTTTTAAATAACCGGTGGTGTAATGAGAGTTGTCTGTGCAGTTTGCAGTAGAACAGAATCAGAAGCCCCATGTTCAGAGGTCCAAAAATGACAGATTTTTGATTCAGTGGGATGTTAAATTCATAAAGAAATCAAATCTAATGCTGTCTTTAGTTTGAAAGTAATCCACCAGAACAGAGTCTTAACAGGTTGCATAAGATTTTCATAATAATTCACCTGACGTTGCCATCACTGCTTTATTGAAGATAGGCTTTTATATAGGTAATTGTCGTAGGCACCTGGACAAATTGAACAATGCACTGAGTATATGCAAAGCAAGCACAGAACTGGGCATGGCCTGCATCCTGAAGTATGTTGACATTTTATGTGTGGCAAGATAAAGCACTCTGCAGCACCCACTTCTGGTCTGTAGGAAAGTGAGACGATTAAACATACATGACGGGCTTGCAGCAATCCCCACTGGGAACCTGTGCTGATATTCCAGTTACAAGCATGGCTCCAGAGCCTGTTTAGATAGACTGTGTCTTGAATTCAGTTGGATAAGTTTAAATTGGCAAGTGAGAGCTAGAGAGGCCGTAGGGAAGCTATCCATTAAAATTCATTTCTCAAATGAAGCGATACAGCCTACCCATACCTGAAAGGTTTTTTCCGAATTCAGTAACTGACAGTTCAGGATAGATGATGCACCTCAGAGATATAATCTTTTGCATAAAGACAAAAATGCTAAAGGAAGTACTGTTGTCTCCTCAAAGGCTTCTTTTTGCACTGAGAACATTTAAGATCGTAGAGGTAGCACAGCTGCTCCTAGGCAATGGTTCAGTGTGGGGGAGAGAAGAGGAAGAGCAATGGCAAGGAAATTTGTGGGTCAGAATAAAGATAGCTTAATAAGTGAAGAAAAGAAGGGGGGGGGGGTCGGTGGGGGAGGAGAAAGAACAGGTCCCATGAGGAAAAGTAACACCATTCCAACCAGACCCAGTTACAAGTACTTTTCTAGTTATTAATCTTACCACCCATTTCAAAAATACATTCTCTTCTTCTACCTGGAAAAGTTAACTACTGTTTTATAGGTTAGTGCCTTGGTCCCACATTTCTTGCTATGAGCACTGAGTAGTATCAAAAATGTGGACACTTACAGATTTGATACCAATAAAAGCACTTGCTCTACACATTTTTTGGTAAATTAAGATAGAGATGTTTTTATCTTTATTGTAAGACACTGATGTAATTTTTCAAGTGCTTTGTTTCAAAGCATACTTACAGGTGCGATGGGAAAGTCATTAATATCCCATTCTTTGCTTGTCCTCACCCTCTCCCCCAGTGGGCATAACAGGTCCAAAATGAAGACGGGCTGTGCATAGTATTATGAGATTAGAACGTATTAAGTCTGTGCCAGCAATATGCTATGGGAAGTTACTATTGTTCCTTTACAGTGGTGATTAATAAGACAGCATTTCTGGGAAAAGTTTTCTGTGAATATCACTGAAATGCTCGCTGGAAAACTCTTGGTTTGATGCTGTTTCCTAATTTGGATTAACTATCTCCCTTTTGGGTTCATACGCAACTTGTTTAATCCCATTTTTAAATAGTGCAAGAGCAATTGTGCTGCAGCTCATCAGCTCCAATAAAGTTACCTTACTGCTTCACCGTGCTGCAACATTTCACAAGGCTCATCTAAAAAGAGAGTACCTATTATTTCTGAAATTCATAGGCTATCTGTACCCATCCTACCTTGCAATAATATGAGGATACCTTGGTTCTGATACAGGGAGGTATACTTAGCAAGAATACTGCTTTTCTCCTGAAGATGGATTTAACCTGTGGGCACTTTGGTACTTACTTACAGGTAAACTGTCACTGTTAAAGTCTTACAGAGAGTTATGGCCTGCAAATGCCATCATCAATAATAGTTCACTACATTCCCAGAAGGGGACCAGGTCTATCCTGCAGGTAAAAGCCACCCATCTAGCCAAACTTTATTCCCTTTTTTCAAAAAAGCAGTCAGTCCTCTGAGACAGCTTACAAAATCCAGGCCAATAAATAATAATTGTGAAGGAAAAGATAGGTTTTTCTCTGCAATCAATTACATGGTTTCACAAAACGTCCTGCATTTTGCATCTGGTTTCCCTTCAGTCCTGTCTCTAATATTATACATACAAATAAATGATCCAAAACACTTGAAAACAACTAACAGAACTTGTATATCCTGGAAACAGAGTAAGCAAGACTGTTTAGTAAAAGTTAATAATAGGGTTGTTTCATTTTACTTTACCCGCAACAAATCATTTTGATTGAATATGAAAGGTTGTTAAAATGGAACTTCAGAAACATCAAGATTTGGATAAAAAATACATATCCCTAAATGTATCAATTTAAGCCAAATTCTCATTTCCTAATGGAAATGACCAGATGCATATCATAAGCAAGATTAACAACCTATTTCATATAGAAACCATTAAGATCTTGATCTTGCATCCACAAATTCAAGTGGAGACTTAACTGTACCTGATTTCCAGACCTTTTCTTCAGCTCTGCCTTTCCTGATCAAATGAAAAACCTCATGTGATGCTTATTCAGACAACATCTGTAACGATCATTTTCTCTTCTTTAACAATCTCAGCTCTCTCTTTGCCTCTCTCCACTGACACACACTCCTTTTCTGCTGCTTCAGCTGTCGGTGGTTTCAGCGCAGGTGGATTTCACCACCTGTTCCTTCTTCATCTCTCATTCAGCACCAAGAGTAAATCCCTGCCCATGGAGCCGGCTGTCACAACTTCCAGTGACTTGTTAGAGGATCAACCAGTAAACATTCATTTATTGCCTCTCAGGTCTCTTCCTAAAGATGATCTCCCCCAAAGTTGTATCTCCCCACAGCACTGTCATTAAATGCAATGATTACACCCACTAAGTACATATGCTACCTGCGACTGTCTTATCAGCCACCCCAGCTAAACAGCAGCCAACTCAGCACAGAACCACCTTCTCTGTGATACTCAAGGCAATTCTGGAGTTCAAAGACAGAAGTAGGAAGTCAAGCATAAGCCTTAGTACTGGTCTGTACTTGGAAGTCATTGGCTTTTAAAGTAATGTTTGAGACTAAAGTTCATTTATTCCAGTCAATGTTGTCAAACTCTAAAAAGCCTCAAAAATTTAGTCTACAACGTACTGAATAGAAAGGAAGAAAGAACAACTAGCTGCCATCACCTGTAGAAGTCTCACATTTTTACATATGTGGACATAACCATCACTTTTAAAGTCACAGAATTGGAACAATGACATCCAGTTGACACCACCACCTAAAGCACCTTCCATTTCAGAGCAAAGAGGTGGTGTTCAGGTTTTGTAGTATTTGTCCTGTGTTACTGCAAATGACAGATAAAAGTATTTTGTTTAAGTCTGAGAAAACTGTTTCAGTAAAGACTCTTCCTTTTGTACTATGAATCATAAACAGCTATGCATATACTCCGCAGAAATCACTTTCTGCAGAGGTACCGTTTAAAAGTTTACTGGCATTAGAAGATTTGCTCTGTGTGTTGTATTTTCTCTTTTTTGTTGTTGTTGTGTGATTTTTTTTTAAACTTCTGGTAATTGCTTTAAAAGAACAAAGCTCTTTGTTTAAGAGTAGCTCAGGGAGATCATAATTGCTATAAGGTACAAGACTGTTTCCAAGTATTTCTGAATTGCTTCTCTTCTGCATTAAATATTTAATGTTTAATGTTTGGCCAAACTGTAGAAATTCCCTCTGGAACATGGGTGATGACTTCAGGAAGAGAATGAAGACCTGTCAATTCAATTTTCAGTATGATTCTTTTTAGAAAACCACAGCTATTAAAGAATAGAGTATTTAAGAAAAATAATAATAATTCCAGGAGTACACGAACATGTTCTTAGCAAAAAATATCAAGCAATTAATTCTGTGTCTTTGAAAATTGTAGATTCACGCTCTGTGAATTTAAGATAACAATAATCATGCTTTTCTCTGTAAGATCTGGTTTAAAAAAAAATACTGTTAATGTAACCTGGTGCATCACATCTTGCCCTCCTCTCCCCCTCATGCACCCAGCTCTTCATGGATTTTATCAGACAGATGTCTTACTGTTATCTCCATCTAGAGCCAGGAGTGACGTTATCTAGTGGCATCCGGCAGCAAGGCTTTAACCCAGCAGTCCAGGAGGGAAGTGTGTCAAGGCTACTACTGACTAGCAAAATCCTGCTGCATCAGCTAAACAGCACCTGCCCTTGCTCTCATATTAGGTCTCCAGATGTCCTGTTCTCACCTAGGAGATCAGCGTGTCCCAGGAGAGCTGACTACTACTTTTTCATTGTATTAAAACCTGACAGCATACTGGGAATAAACCATTTAAAAGCCTAATGAAAACAAGCATGTGCTTCCTCCTAGCCAATAACGCACACTGATGTGGATGCAGCTGATCAGAGAACACATGCTAAATGTTACAAAAGCTGCCCATTTTGAAACTCTGAAAATTGCTACAATTTGTGAGGCTATTTCTGCTTCTACTGTGACATAGGGACACCATTGTGCTACCCATCCACAATTCCTGACTTATATTCAACAGACAGCTAAATATATAAGGAACTGAGGACAACGTTTGAAGACCCATCACAGCACCACCTTGCAACATGCTCAAGAAAGCCGAAGGCAGGGGATATAACCCAATATATGGAAGTGACTTCTAAAAGAAAGGAGAGAAAGAACTTACACAGAAAGCTAGTGGGATAGCTTATGCCAGCTAGAATTGTATTAAAATGTTAAAATTGAATAGTAATATTAATTCAGTTATGTTGCATGCCACTTGACTTTCAAATCAAATACATTTATCACATTGCAGATATTACTCTTTATATCATTATATATACAAATGAGGAAATAGACAGGATGTTTAGTACTGTTGTTTTAATGTTACTCAGAAACATTGAACTGCTAAGTATCTTCCCTTTTGTGATCATTATTGCATCCTTTAATAGCTTGTTAACACAGCTGTCATATTTAGTTTTACAGCATCCCTTTTCCAGATCATTTTTCCTAATGCAGCACCTGCTCGCAACAAAAAAGGTCAGCTGGTTGCTGTGTGAAGCTTCACTTCTTTCTGAACTAGCTGAAAGGTAGTTCTCAGCCTTTCTTCCCCCAGCGTGCTTCAGCATTTTCAAGACAGTTAATGTCCAAGATACCCAAGAGCAAGCTACGTATTCAGTGTGCAATCAAGGAAAATGACCACAGGTGAAGGTTAGCACACACTGTAAACACATTGATTGCTTCAGATGAGAAAGGTTCACCCTAGAGAAACCACTCCCAGGGGCTGTTCCTAGACCCCAGGTGTGCATGGGCTCAGTGCAGTCGAAGAAAAGAGCAAACTGGGGATCCAAAGGCAGAACCCAAGTTTAGTTCCCAAACTGAATTCTGGGGATCCAGTAAATTTCAGTCTTTCTGAAATTTGATTTCCTAACACCAAAGCATGCTACATACAACTGCCAAGCCACAGACTAGACCCAAAACAAATATTTTAGAAAATGGTGAATAAAATAAGTAACTTCTAAATTTAGATTTAAAAGTCCCCAATGTTGGCACGTTCCTTACTTCTGCTGGCAATGAAGTTTAAAAGCTAGCGGCTGTTCCATAATCTAAGTAACAGTTAATAGCACAATGTCTACAGATCTCTACTGGATATGCATGGAGGTGTGGGTATGTGCACTCATGGAAGGAAAAATAAAGGGGTGATGACCAAACCAATGAGTCTTCTGAATTTGATGAGACAATCAATTGAGTTTTGACCAAACCCCTGGGAGCTGCATAAGGAGTCAATTAACATGATTCTGGAAACAATTTCATACAGTCAGGAGCAGGATTTAGGGTAGATTAGTGTTTAGCAACACATTAAAGGAACTCTGACATCCAAAGTGAGCTGACACACTTGTTTCTAACACCCTTCCTTAATACTTGGTTTCAATAGCAGCTAAGGGCCCTAAATGCTTCTGAGAACAAAGCATCTCAGATAGGTCACCCAAAAATTGTCACATGAAACTATTGAACACCTCTGGAAAGTTGGCCTGCCTGCTGGAAACTGGTGTTCTTAATAACATGCAAGCTAAAATAAATACTGAGAAACTAAAATATAAAATTATTATAAAACAAGCCCACCTAAAAGTTCAAGCACAAAATAAAAACCCAATTAAAATATAGTAAAAGCTATTTTTAAATGAAATCTTAAAATCAGAAGACTGAGCCAGAAACAGGGGGAAAGCAGAAGCCAAACCACAATCTTACTAGAAGACATCCTAGTATATAATGCCACACACTTTTTCCATCTTTGAACATAAGAAATTTGGACTGCACTTCTCCAGTTTTGGTACCTAGGTATTGAACATGATTGTTTTACCACATTGCTTGAGGTCTCTGCCAACAAGCCACATAGCATGAGAATAATTGAATGAAATTCAGAACAATTAGGTACAAAGCATATTATATATGCCACAAATGTCATGTTAACTTCTTAAAGCAAAAGATAATATTCATTATCTACATATGACTTTCATGAGAGGCCAAGAAATTTATTCTGGATGCTAACATCGATTTCTTTATATAGTGTTATCACCTCCATAAAGGTTTTCCAGCAGGAACAAAACAATAGATTCCCTCTTGAACCGATACATGACAGAACTAGAACTTTTTTTTTTTTTTTTTTGGTCTACTCTTGAGTGGCTGAGCACTTGGTTATGCCTTTACAATCACAACACAAAGATTGCTATAAATGAGGATTACATCAGTCTAATCCAAATTTTAGCTAGTCAAGATCCTAAGGAAGTAAAGAAATGCTTGTTTCTAATAAAATAATGGAACCTGTTACTGAAAAAAAGATGTGGATACTTTTGGCTTTGTATCTTTTAATATGAATAGAGATTATCAATGTTAACACATGGGACATTATTGGAAAGAAAATCCTTTGCCCGATTTACTTTTTTTTTTTAAACTATGAACTGAAACTATTAATAAACTTATCCTTCCTGCTCTTTAGACTTCTAGCACAACTGCTATTCAGATTTATTCATGACTTCCTTTTATTAGAGACATGCCAAATCTGCTGTATTGTCCACTTGGAAAAATGCCCACTATACACAGACACTGAAGAAATACTCAGATATTAATTATTTGCATTGCAGCCATCCAAACTATTTCCACTCATATGAAAATTTTAGAACAATGCATTATTTTTAACAATAAAAAAAAAAAAACTTTATTATGACACCAATTTCTCAAACTTGAAGTTTTTGTCTCTTTTGTACAAATGACATATTTTCAAATCTCAATTTGTATAAAAACCTGTGGTTGCAAAACTGTCTGGTGTCTCAGAACACAGAATTCCTTTTAAGGGAATCAGATAGTTTTCCAATGTAAGTATTGTTCTTTATTAAATACTGCTGGGTAGTAGCACAAATGAGACCAAAACAAACAAACAAACAAAATAAATCAAGAAAATATAAGCAACAATCCTTCTCGTAATTAAAAATGAATGAAAAATGCAAGTGAATAGCATGCCTAGAAAAGAAGAGTCACACTTTTTTTGAATCTGGGTTCCAAATATCCATGTGCAGACACCAAAAGCAGTCATAATATGTAAGTATGTCCCACATTTATCCAAACAAATTGGCAAAAGT